TGTGTGTGTGTGTGTGTGTGTGTGTGTGTGTGTGTGTGTGTGTGTGTAGAACCTATTTAGGTTTAATTACAAGTATATGGTTTATAAATGAAAAGAACTAGCTCCCACTCTCAAACATTCTCAGATAACCACTGATTTCCTTGCAATAATTTCTTATGGATTCAGCTAAAGAAAAGTTATGTGGCACAAAAATTCTCCATGATGGAAAAGTTTCTGAATTATCTATCTATCTATCTATCTATCTATCATCTATCTACAGTATCTATCTATCTATCTATCTATCTATCTATCTATCTATCTATCTATTTATTCTAGGTTCTCTTGTCTCTTGTGGAATTTATAGAGAACCTAGAATTGATATGACTCAAGGACCCCAGGTGCAGACTGTGCAGAGAGGCCTCAGAGACAGCAGGGTGTAAGATGCAGGCAGGAACAGCATACACAGAATGGCACAACCAAGTAGCTGGCATTGTGTACAGGAACATCTGCACAATGTATGGACTAGACCCTCCCAAGTCCAGATGGGAGAGTCCACAGAAGGTTGTGGAGAATAACAGGGCTAAGATCCTGTGGGACTTCCAGATGGACAGGCAGGTGCTGGCCAATCAACCAGACACTGTGGTAGTAGACAAGGACCAGAAGACAGCATTGGTGATAGATGTAGTGGTGCTAAGTTACAGCAACATCAGGAAGAAGGAGTATGAGAAGCTGGAGAAGTACCAGAATCTAAAGGAGGAACTGGAGAGGATGTGGAAAGTAAAGGCCAAAGTGGACCCAGTGGTGGTAGGAGCACTTGGGGCTGTGACACTTAAGCTGGGAGAGTGGCTCCAACAGATCCCAGGAACAACCTCAGAGCTCTCTGTGCAGAAGAATGCAGTGCTAGGAACAGCTAAGATATTGTACAGAACGCTCAAACTCCCAGGTCTCTGGTAGAGGACCTGAAATTGAGGAAGACCTACAACCCATAGGGGTGAGAGGGGATTATATATATATATGAGAATGAGGTGCTCCAACATAACTCTTGAGGGTGCAACAACCGATTTCAGAATTACGTTAATCCCTTTTAATTGGTTGCAGTAACAGTAACTGGATGGAGAAAAAAAAGCAAGGCTGAGTGGCCTCAGTAGGAATTACAGTGATGCCTTTGTAAGTTAGTTTTGGGAGAGATAGCAAAGGAGACTTTGCTATATTAGACAGAATTTGGCAAGCATCTTATTCCATAAATTCCTCTTAGACTTGCCAGATACCACCTGTTCCCTGTGAGACAGCTTATGCAACATTTTCTGTTTCAAGTCATTGTATGTGAGACTTCTCTGACAATGGAAGACCAAAAGCAACAGACATAATTCAAACATTCTTACCATCCCTTCCCAGAACCATCAAGAAACCCACTTATTATTCCATTGCTTTTGTTCTAAATGCATCACAGTTTCTAACTGCAGATGTTTACTGTTTGAGACATGAAGTAGCTTTCCAACTGTAAATATGTCACTTAGTGCAAGGATAACCAATTTGATGTCTTCCAAATGTCTTAGACTATAACTTTCATAATCTTCAGGAACTGTCTTTTATCTTGGATACCAACCAAACATTTTTCTGAAAGAATCTCTAAAGGAGAATAGCTTGCTCTGTTCTCCTGCATTGTTTAAACCAGTGTGGTGGAGATTTCTCTTATGCAGCTATAGCTATATCGTTTTTAATAGACTTTCCAAAGATGACCATTGTAGAGGCCTTGTCCGTTCAGAGTGATAGAAGTATGAAAGATTTAAATATAGTATTTTCTCTCATTTAATTTCCTCCTTTTCTCTTTCTTTTTCTTGAAGCAATTTCTCTCTCATTTTCTGTCAAGAGTCGCTCTGCACAGGATCTCAGTCTGCAGCTACAAGAAGCAGCAAGAAAGAAATTATGGGCCCTGGAAAATGACGATAAAGATGTTTGTGCCGTCTTCAAGGTAAAGTAGTTGTTGCTATTGTTTTCAAAGGAAACTGTATCTCTGTAACTTTTTGAAATAACTGAATCAGATCGCTGGTCCTCCTGCCAGTAATGGAACAAGAGTTCCTCAGGATCTTAAGTAGAAACTTTGCAGTCTTACTGTCTGGAATACCTTTAATTGGAAATACTGAAGACTGAACTACACGCAAAGCATGTGCTGTTGTACAGCTGCATGGCATCTGCTCATATTGCTTAGATGGCTGCATAGCCCAGCCAGTGATTAAAACATTGCCATCTCCATTTATTATTCATTGCTATATGGCACTGCGATTGCAATAAAATGTGGAAATCAAAACTATCAACAAGTCTGTGACCTATAAAATCAAAAGCTGTGCGCAAACACACACATACACACATACACACACACACACACACATCCTTTTCCTCCCTCCCTCAAAATTATTTAAACACTGCTATGTGATAAGTAGGCTAAAGCTGCATTAGACCCAAAGTTTTGTAGCGCACTTCATACCTGTGCAAATGTTAACCTAGGGGTTTTAGCCCAACTTAAAATGCCACAAAATGTTCAGGATGGATTTATCAGCATCCTAAATATGTATAGCCCACTCATTCCTGCAGTGCTGATCTCTAGTTGTAGCAAAATCCCTTGGAGGAGACCCAGGAAGGAAATATAAGCTGTTTGGGCAAAAAACGGTTGCAAAAAGCATACTCAGTGGACTGACTGTAAAATGCTGTGTTTTGAGCAGGAATTATGGAAAAAGAGAATGGAATGTCATATTTTGGAAGATATAGCTGGCTAGCACATTAATCAGATCACTCTTCACTCCATACCTTATTGCAGACCCCAAGAATTAAGAATGAATCCTGAATTCCTGATTGGATTTCATTGTCCCCGTTGTAGCTTACACCTCGTCTAAAGTTCCAGGTTCCAAATGTCATGCCTATAATTTGTAAAGAGTTTGATAAGGCATATGCTAACCTTTGATGACATCTCCCATTTTCTGCCTTTTTGTCTTTTTGCAGGAGCTGTCAGCCAGGCTGGTGTGCATCCAGGCACAGGAGGATCGTTTTCTGCTTTCCTTCAGAACTGTGGAAGAAATCTGGAAGTTTTCAACTTACTTGGCACTCGGTAAATCACATCACACTGAGGGATGACTGGCATTCTATCAGAAAGGCAGTTGTGGCACCATAAAATATATCGGACACAGTGTTAAGGCAGAACTACAATGGAAAACATGGAGCGCTCCTAATTTTCTTTGCAAGGACTAGTTTAACATGCTGTTCTTCCCAAAAGGCCAACAGCTGGGGAAGCAAGGCAAGAGTGAGTGCATTGTGATGTTGTTGTAGTGCACTGAGTACAGTGAGATATACAAGAATAAGAAACCTAGAAGCAGGGATTCCCTGCCTTTTTAAAAAAGATTATTTCTATTCATAGGAAACTTGGGAAGGTGAATGTGCCATGAATTGTGAAAAGCTAAAAGGCGGGATTAGAAGATTGAGGGGTCAGAATGAAAATGGCCACCAGCTAACAACAGAAGCTGAAAATATAATGGATTTGTTGATTGGTTAATGAATTGGCTAGTTATACATTTTTAAATAATGCTATATTGTTTTGAACTGAATGATTGTATTATATTGATTTGGATTTCACTGTTAAATATGTTTACATCTTTTTGCTGAGAAGGGATCTGAAAAACAAATGGTCATCAACTTCAACCCTAAGGCCAAGCAATGTGACCCTATAGAATGGCTGACAATTTGGGTCAAATGTAGGCCTCAAACAAGCACTGCTGCTTTGGCTTTTGGGGAGAGCACATGATACATTCTCATTTTTTCTTTGGTATGGTGAAATAGGGTATGTGGGTTGCTGCCTGGAGCACCTTCTCTTCACTCCTGAGCACTGGTTGAACTATGCTCAAGTAGACGATACTGAGATCACTGTTACTGTCGATGAAGACTGCATGGCCACCATGTATCTGGGTCTTCTGCTCCAGGAAGGTAAGAACCCTGCATCAGAATCCAAAAATACTTATACTGTGATGCTGCATCTCTGTAAAGCAGGTCTCTAGTAGGAGGAGAAAGAAGGATATGGGAGAAAGATATGAAAGAAAATAAAGGGTTTTAAAATGAGTCTGTACATGTTCAAAAACCTCTAAATTTATTCTGGCAACAAGTAGTACCTGCACGTTTACTTTGACTATCAGGGGACCTCCCCAACAGCAAAGAACTGTCTGGTACTAATCTTGAGCTATGACTAGGCAAAGGGGGGGCGGGGGGGAGGGTTTAAGTGTATATAAATAACTTCCTTCAGCCAAAGCAAGGTGTTTCTGATCCTTCCCCATTGCAGATATTTTCTGTACATAATGTGTGTGTTTTCTTTTTTTATTTCTTTTTTACACGTAAAAAAAACATTTTAAACTATTTAAAAAAACTGAATCTCCCTCCATAATAGACTGCAGTGGGGAAAGGGGACCTGAACCATTAAGTAGATGTGTTTAAAGTGACATTGAAATATTTTCGCAAAGAAGAAAGCGTCTGTGATCTTTTTGAAGGGAATCCTGTGGCAGCAAGTAGTTTCACAATTGCAGCACCATGACAGGAAAAAAAATCTGTTTCTGTTACCCTGCCAACCTCATCCTGATATTACATGGAAATTGAAATTTCCTGGAATAGAACTTCTAGAGAAGTGTGCAAGCATTCTTAGGAAAGTAGATACTGCCACATTGTTTGCATGACAAGAGTCATGATGTTTCTTTCTCTTCTCCTTTTTCTGTCCAAAGGCAACTTTTTTGCCACAGCAACACTCACTGTCCTTGCAGAGGAAGAAGAAGAGGATTTAAAGCTTCTCAAGAATGAGTTAGTCCATGTGAAAGACATTGGGCATGAAACCAAGTGGGAAGGGACATCACTGTTGACTGATCAGAGGGGCCTGGTCCATGTCACAACTATAGAACCATTGTCCCATCCCTTTTACCAGTAAGTAGGTTGTCTGTTGGCCTGTTGAGGCACTCTGACTATATGCTGGGTTCACTTGTACTACTTTAAGCAAAGTGTCATTTTGTAACTTTGAGATTAAAATGGGCTGCTGTTTGTAATGTGTGCTTAAAGTTGTGTTTTCAACCTCTAATTCAATTATAACGTTTGCAGTAATGTTTTCACCAGAGTAGTTTGCAACTTTGGTTTGTATACAAAGATTATGTTTGATGGGAATTTTCTGGCTCTTCAGTTACACAACCTGTCATACCTGTCATATTCTCCAAATGAAAATACAGTGTACCAGATTCAACAGTGCTGACAAGCTTTTTAAAACAGAAAGGTTTCCCTTTTCTGCTTTTTTAAATCAAGTCTGTCAAAAAGTATGTACAAACTATATTGGAAGGTCAGATCAATATTCCTTCTGTAGAACATTGCCTTATGGCTAGACAGTCTTCTCTAGTTTTGCACTGACTTCTCTGACTGGCAATAGCTCTCTGACAATTATTCCTATCATCAGCTACCTGATTCTTTTTTTAAGTCTAGGAGCTGGATATGTAACCTTTGCCTGCAAAGCATCTGCTCTAGTACTAAATTGAAGTTCAAGTTCAGCTGTCTCCATCTCCAATAGTACAAGTCAGATATTTTGAGAACACTCATGAGTGGGCCTGATAATTGCATCTATACTTTATCTCTAGAATCTTGATTTGTGTTATCCATGTGTAATACTCTTAACTTTTTTTAGAAAAGCATCTAGGCTATTGCCATTACCATACCTTTGGGGCATGGATTCCATGAGTGATTTATAAAAGAGATGGCATGCAAAGAAGTAAAACTTACAGCATAGAACAGATCTAATACCTAATTGTCTCCTACCTTGGACACCAACCACATATTTCCCTGAAAGAAGCAACTTGTTCACAGCTCTTTGTATTTGCAGGTGGTTTTTGAAGAATTATCCAATCAGTTGTGGCATATCCCAAGAAATCAGTGGGCCTGATTCTTCACAGATTGGTGAGTGTAATAAAACTCAAGATCAATTTGCATAAAAATCATTAATTGACTACTGCCCTTTGTATTTCACTTGCTGTTTGTGAGCCACATTCATAGGACTTTCAAGTAGCCTGGAATGGTACCATTTGTTCTCATTGTTTATATGTATGTATGTATGTGTATATATTCCCCATTCACCCCTATAGGTGGTTTGTGTCTTCCTCAATCAGAGGCCTGGGAGTTTGAGGGTTCTGTGCAATATCTTAGCTGTTCCTAGCACTGCACTCTTTTGGACAGAGAGCTCTGAGGTTGTTCCTGGGATCTGTTGAAGCCACCCTCCCAGCTTAGGAGTCACAACCCCAAGTGCTCCTACCACCACTGGGACCACTTTGGCCTTGACTTTCCACATCCTCTCTAGTTCCTCCTTCAGGCTGTGGTACTTCTCCAGCTTCTAATACTACTGCGTTCTGTTGCTGTCACTTGGCACTGCTACATCTATCACTACCACTGTCTTCTGGTCT